TATTATTGATCAGTTTGTATTGATTATTAGTATTGATCAGTTTGTATTGATAATTATTATTGATCAGTTTGTATTGATTATTATTATTGATCAGTTTGTATTGATAATTATTATTGATCAGTTTGTATTGATTATTATTATTGATCAGTTTGTATTGATTATTATTATTGATCAGTTTGTATTGATAATTATTATTGATCAGTTTGTATTGATTATTAGTATTGATCAGTTTGTATTGATTATTATTATTGATCAGTTTGTATTGATTATTATTATTGATCAGTTTGTATTGATTATTATTATTGATCAGTTTGTATTGATAATTATTATTGATCAGTTTGTATTGATTATTATTATTATTGATAAGTTTGTATTGATTATTATTATTCTTGCTCGTTTGTATTGATTTTTGTATCGGTGAATCAGGTGTGACAGCAGCAGTCCGTACATTCATCCTGTGGGTTGGTGTGAACAACAGGGACGACCTCTGACCGCTCCACAGGGTAATATACACTCTGTAGTAATCTGAGTACTCTGTAGTAATCTGTAGTAATTTTAGTAATCTGTAGTAATCTGAGTACTCTGTAGTAATCTGTAGTAATTTTAGTAATCTGTAGTAATCTGAGTACTCTGTAGTAATCTGAGTACTCTGTAGTAATCTGTAGTAATCTGTTGTAATCTGAGTACTCTGTAGTAATCTGTAGTAATTTTAGTAATCTGTAGTAATCTGAGTACTCTGTAGTAATCTGAGTACTCTGTAGTAATCTGTAGTAATCTGAGTACTCTGTAGTAATCTGAGTACTCTGTAGTAATCTGTAGTAATCTGTAGTGTTAAACACTACTTTTGTTTTTCAGGTCATCCCAACCCAGAGAACTTCCTGTGGGAGCAATACCTGCAGGAAACTGGTTCCATCGCTGCTCCCAGTTCAGCCTTCACACTGGTGAGGGGAGGAGGAGGAAGAGGTGGGGGGAGAGGAGGTAGAGAGGAGATCAAGGAGGAGGAAAAGGAGGAGGAAGAGGAGGAGGGAAGGAGATAGAGGAGGAAGAGGAGGTAGAGAGGAGATCAAGGAGGAGGAGGAGGAAGAGGAAGAGAAGGAGGGAAGGGGATAGAGGAGCAAGAGGAGGTAGAGAGGAGATAAAGGAGGAGGAAGAGGAGATAGAGGAGGAGGAAGAGGAGATAGAGGAGGAAGCGAAATAGGAGGAGCTGTCAGTGAGAAGCATTTGATGATTGACAGGTGTCTTTGTGCCTCCGTCCAATCAGAGAGCTCCGCACGGTTTCCAGATGAACCAGAAACTAGAGGCAGTCGACAGGAGGAACCCCATGTTGATCCGTGTCGCCACGGTAACAGATACAGCCGACTACAGGGTGAAGGTACTGTGCCTGTCTGTGTGCCTGTCTGTGTGCCTGAGTGATGTCATAAAGTGTGTGATGATGTAACCAGGTGTGTTTACCTGCAGGTGCATTATGACGGCTGGTCACAGCAGTTTGACGTCTGGTGTGACAGCGACCTGTGTGACCTTCATCCTGTCGGCTGGTGTCAACGCACAGGACACCCTCTGGAACCCCCCCCAGGTCAGACAGACAGGTCAGACAGACAGGTCAGAGACAGGTCTGACAGTCAGGTCAGAGACAGACAGTCAGGTCGGAGACAGACAGACAGATATTATCATTCTAACAGTGTCTGTGTTCCCTCTGTGTGTGTGAGACAGGTTCATCCCCCCTGTCGTCCCCCTCTCAGGGCGTTTGTCCCACTCCAGGCTGCAGAGGAGTCGGACACATTAAAGGAGCAAAATACACCGGACACCACAGGTAACCTGCTGACTCGTGTTTTGCCTCGTGTTTGCTGACTCATGTTTTGCCTCGTTTTTGCTGACTCATGCGGTCTCCTGCACAGTGCCTTCGGCTGTCCGTACTCAGACATTAATATGCGTAAGGAGGTGGTGCTTCCTGATAGGCTGGGAGGAGAGAGAGTGGTCACCCTTGTACCTGTCACCATATATCACCACGGCAACCAGTCAGACAGGTAACCATGGACCACTGTGGACAAATAAACTCAGTCCTCAACTTTATATTATTGGGGGTGCTGTGCCTCACACTGCTCATTATTAATATTAATTAATATTGATTATTTCTTAAACTCCCTGTACCTGTCTGTCTCTCTACCTGTCTGTAGTGTTCAGGTAAAGACCGAGCCCGGGGACGAGACTCTGCTGCTTCCTCTGGGGAAGAGAAAAAGACTGACTGACAGGTGAGACAGACAGACAGACAGGTGTTTGATCTTCACAGTGACCTCATGAGGCTGTACCTGTCTGCCTCTCTGCCTGTCTGTCTGTGTGCTCCTCAGAATAGACCATGTGAAGTGTGTGTGTGTGTGTGTGTGTTATATAAACTGATTATGTAACACACACACTGTCCGCAGCACAGCGTGTGTGTTGTTGAATGTTTAAATAAAGTTGCGAATGTGTTACTTCCTGTTTCTAAACTGTCTCACATGTGATGTGGAAATGATTTCAGAATAAAAGCATTAACTGGTCAAACAGTTGGAGGAGGGCAAGAGATCAGGCTGTGTTTAATGACTTCTGTATCTGGCTCCGCCCCCAGACTGTCCCAGCCAACCAAATTCCTCCGTGTGAAACAGGAAGAGGAGGAGCTTCACCTGAGAGCCCTCAGTCCAGGTACTACCGTTCCCATTTGGAGAGTATCCCAGCATGCATTTCACACCAGCCGTACAGTTAGTACAGAATACACTGTATCTTTATTGATTATATTGATCAGTATATACTGTATATTTATGGATGACATTGATCAGTATACACTGTATCTGTATGGATTATTGATCAGTATACACTGTATCTGTATGGATGATATTGATCAGTATACACTGTATCTTTATGGATGATATTGATCAGTATACACTGTATCTGTATCTGTATCTGTATGCAGTGTTTCCCATTAATTATTTAGACTGTGGCAGCCCGCCATGGTCTAATTTGTCCCGCCACAGTCTCAGAATGAACCCAAAAAAATTCTTACACTTCTCATAATAACATAAAAGATCTGTAACTTGTGTTTCGCACCGCTGCTTCAGCAAAGCATCTCTCACTCCCAGTCAGTCGGCTCTGCCCTCCCCCCCCTTTCTGTACGCGGCGTACGCACACTCACACTCATACCCCCCTAGAGGGTACGACATCCACCCACCATAGTCTCACAAGATCCTGTGGGAAACACTGTGTATGGATGATATTGATCAGTATACACTGTATCTTTATGGATGATATTGATCCTGTATTGACAGTCAGACTGTGGACATATGACGGCCTTTAGCTCGTGTTTCTAGAGTTACGTGTTGTTACGAACACGTTAGGAATTGTTAAAATGTGATATTTCTTAAAGGGAGTTTGGTGCAGGGAGCTTTTAGATGGATTCAAACTACTAATATCATTGTTGTTGATCGTTGTTAACGTTTAGTCTCTGCTACAGAAACACTAGCTAACTGCTAAAGTCTGATAAGGTTGTCTGATGGTTTTAGTTTGATTAATGCTTTAATAATGGGAGTATTGATCCGATTATTACACTCAATTTCTTACGGCAGTGTGCTGTAAATGGTTGCCCTTTGTGTGTGTGTTTATCAGCTGAAAGTACAGAACGCAATGAAATATATTTTATTATATTAAATAATTGATCAATAAATTGAGATTAATAGTAATAATAATAATCATGACTGAAGACTGTATTGCAGGAAATGGCACTTTCAGGTCTTCATTAAATCAACATTTTCCTGCCGTAATCTCGCACTCAGCAGCAGGGGCACCACTGAGTCCATAACTACTGATAGGAGGTTTGATCAATAACTATGATAGGATCAATAACTACTGATAGGTGTTATTATCAATAACTACTGATAGGAGGTTTGATCAATAACTATGATAGGATCAATAACTACTGATAGGAGGTTTGATCAATAACTATGATAGGATCAGTAACTACTGATAGGTGGTTTGATCAATAACTATGATAGGATCAATAACTGATAGGATCAATGACTACTGATAGGTGGTTTGATCAATAACTGTGATAGGATCAATAACTACTGATAGGAGGTTTGATCAGTAACTACTGATAGGTGGTTTGATCAATAACTATGATAGGATCAATAACTGATAGGATCAATGACTACTGATAGGTGGTTTGATCAATAACTGTGATAGGATCAATAACTACTGATAGGAGGTTTGATCAATAACTACTGATAGTAGGTTTGATCAATAACTATGATAGGATCAATAACTGTGATAGGATCAGTAACTATTGATCGGTGGTACATTATGTAATGATGTAATGGGGTACACACTCAGCATCCTCTCTCTGTCTCTCTATGCTCAGTGGGTTTCCATGGAAACAGGAGCCAGTTTCCAAGGAAACGGCTCACCATGGTAACTGCTGTCTGTGTGTTCTCTCTGAAGGTCTCTGGTCTTCCTCTGCACATTAGAACTGATTTGTTTCACACTGCTGGATTGTGTCTCTGGGGAAAGACTAAACTCAGATCTGGTCTGAGGTTGCAGTTCTCAGAACCAGCTTCCAGGTTCAGTGATCAATGATCAATGATCAATGATCAATGACATTTCTGATTGTTGTCATTAACAAACTGCTGCTGTACAAACACACAACTTTATTAACACTGTACAAACACAACTTTATTATCACTGTACAAACACAACTTTATTAACACTGTACAAACACACAACTTTATTAACACTGTACAAACACAACTTTATTAACACTGTACAAACACACAACTTTATTATCACTGTACAAACACACAACTTTATTAACACTGTACAAACACACAACTTTATTAACACTGTACAAACACAACTTTATTAACACTGTACAAACACACAACTTTATTAACACTGTACAAACACACAACTTTATTAACACTGTACAAACACACAACTTTATTATCACTGTACAAACACACAACTTTATTATCACTGTACAAACACACAACTTTATTAACACTGTACAAACAACTTTATTATCACTGTACAAACACACAACTTTATTAACACTGTAAAAACACACAACTTTATTAACACTGTACAAACACAACTTTATTAACACTGTACAGACACACAACTTTATTATCACTGTACAAACACAACTTTATTAACACTGTACAAACACACAACTTTATTATCACTGTACAAACACAACTTTATTATCACTGTACAAACACACAACTTTATTATCACTATACAAACACACAACTTTATTAACACTGTACAAACACACAACTTTATTATCACTGTACAAACACAACTTTATTAACACTGTACAAACACAACTTTATTATCACTGTACAGACACAACTTTATTATCACTGTACAAACACACAACTTTATTAACACTGTACAAACACACAACTTTATTATAACTGTACAAACACAACTTTATTAACACTGTACAAACACAACTTTATTAACACTGTACAAACACACAACTTTATTATAACTGTACAAACACAACTTTATTAACACTGTACAAACACACAACTTTATTAACACTGTACAAACACACAACTTTATTAACACTGTACAGACACACAACCTCAATGGAGGCCAGTTTGACAATAGCGGTACCGAGGTAATTTATGGAGTTTCCTGAGTACCTACTTAGTTTGTGCAGCTAACGTTAGCTGACACAGTTCTGGGTGGCAAGAGCCAAACTCTGCAATAAAAACACCTCAGTACTTTATTTCCTGTCCAAGAGTCAACTAATTAATCTGCTTCAGCTTCTGGACTTGGGGGACGTAACACACGGCGCTATTGGCTACTGCAACAAGTCCTTCCCTGTTTTCACAGGAAATACAGAAATATGAGAAAGCAAACAGCTCTCTGATTTCTGTTTCAAGAGGACTTTAAGGTATTTGTTGGTCTGTCTCTCCACCAGCAGCAGAGTCCAGTCTGCAGGCCGCCCTCCACCAGTCTGTCTTTCTGTCGGCCATGTCGGCGCAGCCCGGCCGTGACCTGTCGCTCTGCTGGGAGCAACACCGCAAACTGCTGCCGGGCGTTGCCGGAGTTCACGCCGAAACCGTCCAACACTGGAGTGTCCAGCAGGTCAGTATGACCTGTCTGTCTCTCTGTCTGACCTGTCTGTCTTTCTGTCTGACATGTCTGTCTGTCTTTGACCTGTCTGTCGCTCTCTGACCTGTCCGTCTCTCTCTGACCTGTCTCTCTGCAGGTGTCAGACTTCATTGAGTCTCTTCCTGGCTGTGAGGAACAGGCCAAACAGTTCAGAGACGAGGTGAGCTGACCAATCAGCTACTGTAGATTTTATTACATCACACTGATCCTGCTGTGATCTGATTGGTTCCTGCCTCTGTCTGTCTAGCAAATTGATGGACGGGCCTTCCTCCTACTCACCCAACGGGACATCGTCAGGATCATGTCAATTAAACTTGGTCCCGCCCTCAAAATCTACAACTCCATCCTGATGTTCAAGCACGCTGAAGACAGGAGCAAATTACACGCAGAGGACACCTGACACCTGCAACTCATAACTGAGCCAATCCAGAAACACCAGTTTGACATTTACAAGCCCCTCCCCCTCTTCTGATCCATCCAATCATCAATCAGATTCTCAGGTGTCGGTCAGGTGACTTCATGTTGGACGTTCATGACAAAGCAGAAAACGAGACAAACACTAGTAAGCCTTGACCAAACGTAGCAAAATGTTTATTTAAAAGCATAGAAACGGCGGTTCCTTGAATACCTTTTTTGTATTCACATCGCTGCTGATTGGGTAACTCCTCTGACACGCCCACCAATCCAGAGAAAGCATACCTCAAAGCCTGTCACGCACCATTTCCAGGAAACATGTTGTTCAGCCTGGAAACGGGAGTGAACGGTGCACACTGTGTAGGATCCACACCATTACCACACCGGCTTACGCCTGTGGATGCAGAGTAGGCGGAGTCTGCACACCATGTGACAGTTATCGTAGCCGGCAGATATGCAGGATCCTCCGCTAAACATCACCATGACCACATGGCCCTTACAAACACAAACAAGTCTCAGGTTTATAAAATCATATTGTGAACACCCTTTCTGTGCTGCCAATTATTCGTCAAATAGGGAAGCTATCAAAGCTAACCCTGAGCTAACCCTGACCACTGAAACAGTTGTTGTGACCCTCGTTCTGTCACCTGAGAACTCCTGAGCTCCACTTTAGGTTCCGTCTCTTATTGCAAGCGAGTCCTTCAGAGATCTAAAGACTGAAACACTGGACTCACCAAACCAGGACCAATGTGCAAGGATTCTGGGATGTAGAGGCCTAAAGGACACAGGTGGTCCAGGTAGAAGGAAGGGAGCCTGAAATGAGACTCATCTTGATTTTAGAAAAATTAAAAATCTTTTACAGTCTTAATTAAGTTTTATTGAACTTTGTACAGAGATTTTCTAGAATATCTTGGATGAAAACTGCTCCGAGCTGATCGGCTGAGCTCGTGAAAAAACACCAAAAAACACACAAATAGTGAGAGACGTCCCATATTAATGCAGAAAATGCCGAATTGTTCGGAAAGATTTTATAATTGACAGAAATTATGAAAAAGATCTCATCAGTTTTGTAAATCTGATTAAAAGTTCTCTTTAAAAAGATCTTAAATGTACGAGACAAATACTTATAGTGGTGATAAAGTATATCATTACAAAAGCCTCAAAACTACACAAAAAAGGAAATTGGGACAAAGAACCCCAAAAATATCTAAAGACATTTTATAGAAGCCATAAAAAGAAATGAGTTGTGTTTTAGTCTCGTTATCGTCCCTTCCTAAGTCTTACCCCTTTTTCTCTGTGCTCCTATAACAATCTTTAGCTAGCCAAACACTAACTAAATAGCTAGCTAATACACATCAGTAGTTAGCTAGCATTTTGCTAACATCAGCCAACTTGTTACTCTCTTTTATATTTTAACCATCTTCAAAATAGATTACATAGAATAGACAAATTACAGGAAAGGATGAAGTTGCTCGGCTGTTATTGGAGCACAGAGTAAAAAGGGGTGGGTCTTAGGAAGAGTCAGTTATAAGTAAAGGTGTATTTGTGGGAAAGCACAGGTTCTAGCGTTGTTTAATGAATGTAAGGGCTCATGAATAAATACCACACAGGACCGATGACTGACCCTGCCTCCACTTTAACGACTCAGGATTTAATTTGAACCCATCTGGTGACATCATCCAAAAGTCAACCTCCTGTGCAATGATTGGTCGGTTCACGCAGTGGACGGACGTCTTTATTGATTCCAGAGTTTGTATTTATGATTTTATTCTCTATAGTGAATCTATATTTGAAAGTTTATATATGACTATATATTTGTATTTCTGTTCACTCTGACTCCTCCTCCCCTTTGATGTCACTGTGATGTCACAGTGGGCAGCTCCCTCAGGTTTCCATGGTAACAGCAATCTGCTGATGTTTATAATTGTTTTATTTTTGTTGTTGTGTTTCATGAGATATTAAAGTTTACTATCTGACCTGAGTTCTGCTCCTTCATTGGCTCTCTTTAACAGTGCAGGTAACAGCTGATGTCACACAGGTGTTACTTTTATATATTTCTGTTGACTGACACCGAGAATATACTGCAAATACTGTGCACAAGTAAGTTTACCTGCTGGTCCCAGCTGGTTTGATCATTGATTGGTGACTTCATTAAATCCATAATCTAGAATCATTAAACAGTGTATAAACTCTAGAGCTATGTTCTATATGGAGTTGATCAATAATCAATAATCAGAAGCCGTCAGACATTGACTGTTTACCATCCAGTGTTTAGATCTTGGTGCTTTTTAGCTCTAACGTTAGCATTAGCTCGGCTCGCAGCCCCTCCGGGACGTCCTTTGTCTGTCCAACAGCGTGGGAGAAGCAGTAATTTTTAAGGTGGAACTGCTTTATTCAGTGTGTTTAAGGTGGAACTGCTTTATTCAGTGTGTTTAGTGGTTTTAATCAGCGGGTCTGTTTGTGTTGGAGAGGAGGAGACCTCTGTGGATCATTGGGCTCCCGGTAGAAACCTCCTGAACCATGAACACTGAAGGAATCCTAACCGGGAGAAGCTGACTGCAATGACGCCAATGGTGGTGAAGACAACAACTCCCATGATCCCGCGCTGCTTCACCAACTCATCACTTTTCCTGTTTTCTTATTGTTTGCATGTCAGAGGCCCCCTAGTGGCAGACGTTTAAAGTTCCAGTGTGTAACATATGTATATCCATATGTTTGTTTTCATTAGTGTTTAATCAGCTGAAAATAAGAATTGTTGTGTTTTCGTTATCTTAGAATGAGACGTTTTTATCTACAGAGGGAGCGAGTCCTCTTCTAGTGGCCATCATGTTGAACCACCATGTTTCTACATTAGCCCAGAGTGGACAAACACTGGAGGTAGATAGGGATTATACACTGAATGGGTTGCAATCTGCAACTTCACCACTAGATGGCTCCAAATCCTCCACAGTGGAGCTTTAAAGTGAAGGAAACGTCAGATGTGTGAGCAGCGATGAGAAGACTAACCTTTACTTCCATCATGTTTTCCATCATTTGACTGAAGCTCTTTTAATGAGCCACCAGCATGTTTATCTCCATCAACCAACCAGAAAACAAACATCCACTCATGATTTCAGCTCAAATGTGACTAAAGAGGCAGACAGGTGGGAAGGCAGACAGGTAGTGTGTGGTATTTTCAGTGTTGCCAGTGGGAGGAAGCTGTCTCTCTCTCTCTCTCTCTCTCTCTCTCTCTCTCTCTCTGTTGGAGGAGGAGATTCATTTACACTCTGCAGAACAACCAGAGGGGGAGGAGGGAGCAGAGGGGGAAACAGCAGTGAAAGACGATGAGAGGAGGAAACATGGGAGCAGCAAGAGGAAGATGAAGAGGAGGAACATGAAGCGACTGCAGCTCCAACGGTGAGAACAAACATTACGTTCTATTTGATTGCGTTCGGTTGGTTTTGTTGGTTTTCTGTCTCTGTGTGCGTTCCCATATTGATCAGTGCTCAGCGGTATCAGCCAGTGTGCTGCAGTAATGATTGATATGCTCTGAACAGTACCAACCAATACTGAATGATTCAGATCAATACCGATACTGATCAATACTGACTGATTCAGATCAATACCGATGCTGATACTGATCAATGCTGACTGATGCAGATCAATACTGATACTATACTAATACTGATTGATACTAACTGATATTGATCAATACTGATACTGTTACATATCAATACTGACTGATACAGATCAATACTGACTGATACTGACTAATACAGATCAATACATACAGATACTGTCAGTATCTGTCACTATCTGTATGTATTGATCACAACTGATCAGTATTGACGGTGGGGGAGGCACAGATGTGAGTCAGAGTAGAATCCAGTCACACTCTCTCATGGAGGAGCTGCAGTGCATGCTGGAAGACATAGTTCTGGCAGATCTGAATGGATGTATTTCACTCACAGCTCTGAGGTCACTTTAATAACCACTGACTGTCTGCCAGACGGAGAGCTGCATTGTGGGAGTTTTAGTGCAATTCAATTCAATTCAATTCAATTTTATTTGTATAGCGCCAATTCATAACAGAAGTTATCTCAGGACACTTTTCAAATAGAGCAGGTCTAGACCGAACTCTTTAAAACATTAATTACAGAGACCCAACAGTACCACCATGAGCAAGACCTTGGAGACAAGGGCAAACCTCGGACAGACCCTTCGGCTCTAGGTTGGTGGTCATCTGCCTCGACCAGTTGGGGTGAGAGACAGACAGACAGACAGACAGACAGACGACAGACAGACAGGTAGACAGGTGCACAGCAACAGCTACACTAATAGTAGTGACTGATGATGATGAACATGAAGAAGATGATTACGACAACAACAGTCAACACACACACACACACACACTGATCTTCATTATTCACTGAATTGATCTCTTTGTGTCTCTCTGTTGTCGTTTTCACTCACTTTGTTGTCGTTTTCTCTCTCTTTGTTGTCGTTTTCAGTCTCTTCATTGTAATTTTCAGTCTCTTTGTTGTCTTTTTTTTTTGTCAAGTTAGAAGTCAAAGATAAATTACTGAATTATTAATTAAACACTTAATCTCTCTCTCTCTCTGTACCTGTCTCTTTCTCTTACAGGAAGTTGCTGACTGAGCCCAGGTGAGGTGGCGGCGGGCGGGGCTTAGCCTGCTGAGCCACCGTCTGATTGGTGGGTGGTGATGATTGCAACCGGCGGCCTCCTGCGGATCAATGCACGGCGACAGGACTCACTGAAGTCCAAAACACACAAAGCACACACACACAAGAGGAAGACCAAGAGGAAGAGGTAACACGCCCACACAGACAGTCCTTCAGGGATGATGTAATCTGTCAGTATATGATGATGTCACTTCCTGCCCCCTCAGGAGGAGCGAGGTGGTGGTAGTGAAGGGGAAGTTGAAGCTGTTTTCAGTCTCGGGTCTCGTGGCAGCTCTCGGCATCCTGGTTCTGCTGGTGGGCGTGGTCATGGCAGCTCTGGGCTACTGGCCTCGAGACGGGCTGTTCTTCAGCACTCGGCCACAAGAGGGAGCCACCATGGCCTCAGTGTCCTCTGGCGGCTCTACACCAGCACCTGCTGACACTCAGGTGAGACCCAGACCTGTATGACCTTTGTTGGCAGTTTTTACTCTTGAGGGGCAGTTTTAACATTTTGTTGAACTTCCCTCTTTGACTGTGTCCAGGGAGGAGGGACAGGGGAGGAACTGGAAGGAGATAAAGCAGACAGCAAAGGTGTAGGTACAGGAGATGAAGGAGGAGACAGCGGTGATGAAGAGGGAGGAAGTGATGATGTTTTTAACCGGACAGAAACCATCAATGGGACCCAAAAGATTCCACGAGGCTTTCTGGAGGATTTTCTGGACAGGTAAATAAACTCTTCTGTAGGATATTGTGGTAGTCCTGTACTCTGATTGGTTGTATGAACTGTCCCTGCAGGTATCTGTACTCTGATAGGCTGAAGGTCTTTGGTCCTCTCATCATGGGCATTGGGATTTTCCTGTTCATCTGTGCAAACGCCGTCCTGCATGAGAACCGTGACAAGAAGACCAAAATTATCAACCTGCGGGACATTTACTCCACCGTCATCGACCTCCACAGCCTCCGCAAACCCAATGCCTCCTCCGCCCACCGCTCCTCCACCAATCCCCTCAACGGCCTTGTTAACTACGTCCAATCAAAGAGCCTGGAAACCAAACCCAGGGCATACCCAGCCTCCCTGATGAACAGGAAGGAGGGGGAGGTTGGAGGAGGAGAAGGGGGAGGTGGGCCGTTGTCTCGTCAACCATTTCCCGGCAGCAGCAGTGGAGGAGGAGGAGGAGGAGGAGCCGGTGGCTGTGATGGAGAAGGAGGAGACACAGTGTTCAGTATCTACCAAGAACAGCCAAACACTCATCCTCCTCCCCCCTCCTCCTCACACAGACTCTCCCTCCCCCCCAGCTTCAGCCCCCCTCACCTCTCAACCTGTTGGACCTCCCCGCAGAAGGAGGTGCTCAACTCCTTCACCTTACCCCTGCGTCGGCCGCGACCCCCTGCTCCCCACAGGAGGCACTCAGCTCGGGCGAGGACAGGCTGGGGCTGGGAGGGGGGTACGAAAGGACAGAAGGAGCATAGGAGGGATGGGGGAGGCCACAGACAAGAGGAGGAGGAAGAGGAGGAGGAGATGTATACATGTGCACCACCTCCTCTGTGCTCCTCAACTCCTCCCCTGCTCACAGCCCTCCAGGGTTCATCAGCAGCTTCCTGCAGCTCCTCCAGTCTCCACAGGGAGGCACCAGGAGGCTCCCAGGCCCTGCTCCTCTCTTCCTCACACCTTTCACTCTCCTCCCTGTCTCACCTGCTGTCCTCCTCCTCGTCCACACTGGCTCCCTCCAGCAGGAGGCAAAGCCTGCCGACCTCCAGCAGTGCGACGGGTTACAGCAAACTGCAGCATGGAGAGGACGAATCGTTCGAGGTCACAACATCACATCATGTGACATCACAAGGCACAGAAGTGACGTCACACAGGAAGTACTCCAACAGGGAGAAGCTGAGGATGATCTCCCAGGTGGATTCTGGTCTGAGGCAGGAGGAGGAGGGCTGAGGAGATGGGACGAGCAATCAGGAGCTGACTTAATGATTGACAGCACAAATCTGAAGTCGTGGGACTTTTTAATGACATCAGCATCACATCAGGAAGGACTGTAAACAGGAAGGAAACAGGAAGGAAAATAAAGAGGAAGGACGCATTCACAACATGAAACTTTATGTCCATTGAAACTGTGAATCGTTGTGCTGAAGGATAAGTAAAAGAAGTGGTGGAATGGAGGTGGAAGTGGTCGTTGTAGCAATAAGGAAGTCTTCCAGCACAACATTAAATGAAGCATTAATCAGCTTGTTAACTGACTGCCTGCTTATTAAAAAGACGTGGGAATGTTTTTATACCAAATCATGTTGATGTGCCCTACAATCATGTTGTTTCATCTGTTTACATGGAGGTTCCCAAACTGGGGAAAGGGGGCCACCTAGAGGACTAGTAGGTCATGTCCACAGTTTAATTCTTCTGTACCTTGACAAGAATTTATTTTCATTCAAATGAATAAACTGTGACCCCGAAATGCTTAAGGTCATTCCATCAATATCATATAATAGATAAACATATGTTTGGGCCATGATTTCCATCAGCATGTAACTGTAAACAATAGAAACAAATATGGTTGAAGTGGAACAGTTTCAACGTCCTCCTGAAGTGAAAGTTGTAGCTACACAACGTCTTCCACTGAAAACTGAACCTGCTTCAACTGAACAGCACAATGTCCAATCATACAACGAGAGTCCATCTGCTCCGTCTGGTTGGCTTGAACTGTAAAATGTTCATCAGTAAATCCAAATAAAGCACATTAACTTCAGCTTTGTTGTTAGATCTGTATTATTGCTTATTGGTCACTCGCTGTTTGATCCAGTATCCACTGCTTCCAGTACGGTCCGATATTCGCTGCTGTTTCAGAACCTTTTCGACAGTGTCAGAGAGATACAAACGCTAAAAGACCACCAAACACTATAAGACACACATCGGGGGACGTTTCACACAACTTCGTTTGGGCCCCTGACTGCAAATCATGATTGAACCTGAACACCTGGGATCGGAGAGGGCCGGCAGTCTTAACAGGTGAAAAGGAGAACAGGTGAAAAGGAGAACAGGTGTTGTAGACAGAAGTTGCGCCAACAAACAGCGGACTCTGTCTGGTAAAGAAATGTTTTATTGTCACATTTTCACTGATCCAAATATTCACATGAAACTTTACAGATAATAAAGTGACGGAAACACAAAGAAATTCACTGTAAAACCTTCAAACAACAACATTTATTCTAAAGCTGTTACATTGACTTCGAGCTTTATGTCACTAGAAAGTGATGTGGACTAAATACTTTGTGATTCCAGTGTCACGTTGCGACTATTTGAACAGCGTTTTCACTCATTTCCTCTGATTACACATCTTATTGGCAGCTCCCTCACTCTCCTGTAGCTCTGATGTTCCTGTGAGGGCAGGAGAGCTAGCTAATGCTTAGCTAGAGCTAATATTAACCTAATGTAGCTAGAGCAGACTTACATAAAGCTTATGTACAGCTAAAGTAGACCTGGCATGGAGCCAGTTTAGTGCTAATGAAAGCTATAGCATAGAGCCAATACAGAGCTGACATAGAGCCAAACTAAAGCTAAGATAGTGCTAATGTAGACCGTACAGCGATCACAGAGCTAACTACAGCTAATATGAAGCTAAAGTAGAATTACAGCTAACATAAAGCTAAAATGGTGCTAATAGTAACACTGAGACATTACAGAAAAAGAAATACAAATATGTGTAAACAGCTGTGTGACGGGACTATTTTTCATTTACAGCTCAGAAGTGTTTGACATTACTTCCTGTTTGTAGACCCTATACAGGAAGTGCTAGAAAATGTTCTGGAAAAAGAGAGACTCAGATATACTTGTCTTCTGTTAATCCTTGTATGTCAGTCAGTGTCGGGGTGACGGCAGCAGTGTCCAATCATATGGTTTGAATTTTGGTAGTGGGCGGGGCTTCAATTTGGTTTACATTTTGTATCACCGATTGGTCATTAATTCCACCAATCATCTACCCCTCATTCAGAAAACACAAAGTTTTCCAGGACTTTTCCATGAGCTGATTCAAAGAATTCCAGGTTCTCAGGGATGTGACAACTCCTGCAGTTATTGATAATCAATGATCAATATTTGTATAATACTCCCATAACACTACCTGCTGTGTAACACTGTAGTCACAGAAGGTTAGCTCCGCCTCCCAGCTGCTCCTATTGGTCACCCAGCACACAGGTAATGTTCTGGTTCCTGTTCTTTAAAGTAACATCTGGAGAACAGTTCAGTCTGCCTGATCAGTGCTTTATTGATCGATGAGGTCACCGTCGGGTCCATTTGATCAGAGTCTCTGGCGATCGATACAGGAAGATCAGTTTGGCGTAAAGCTCCTCCTCCAGCTCCAGCTCACCTGTCTCTCGCACCTGAAACAGCAACCAATCACATTAACAAACCACAGCCAATCAGGCCACCGCACTGTTCAGGGGGTGGAGCCTGTGTTAATGAGGCATACCAAGAAGATGTCGGTGCAGAGTTTGAGGATGCGGTCGACGCAGGGCAGCTCCTCGAACATGATGGAGTGACTGATCCCACTGAAGAACTCTCGCACAAACTTCCCGATCACCAACACCACGGAGGCGTACAATCCCATGATGCTGCGGGGCACAGGAAGAAGATAATACTACACATACTGCAGTAATAATACTACACATAGAGCAGTAATAATACTACACATACTGCAGTAATAATACTACACATACTGCAGTAATAATACTACACATAGAGCAGTAATAATACTACACATACTGCAGTAATAATACTACACATACTGCAGTAATAATACTACACATAGAGCAGTAATAATACTACACATAGAGCAGTAGTAATATTAGAGATACTGCAGTAATAATACTACACATACTGCAGTAATAATACTACACATACTGCAGTAATAATACTACACATAGAGCAGTAATAATACTACACATAGAGCAGTAATAATACTACACATAGAGCAGTAATAATACTACACATAGAGCAGTAATAATACTACACATACTGCAGTAATAATACTACACATAGAGCAGTAATAATACTACACATACTGCAGTAATAATACTACACATACTGCAGTAGTAATATTAGAGATACTGCAGTAATAATACTACACATACTGCAGTAATAATATTAGAGATACTGCAGTAATAATACTACACATACTGCAGTAATAATATTAGAGATACTGCAGTAATAATACTACACATAGAGCAGTAATAATACTACACATAGAGCAGTAATAATACTACACATAGAGCAGTAATAATACTACACATACTGCAGTAATAATACTACACATAGAGCAGTAATAATACTACACATAGAGCAGTAATAATACTACACATACTGCAGTAATAATACTACACATAGAGCAGTAATAATACTACACATAGAGCAGTAATAATACTACACATACTGCAGTAGTAATATTAGAGATACTGCAGTAATAATACTACACATACTGCAGTAATAATATTAGAGATACTGCAGTAATAATATTAGAGATACTGCAGTAATAATACTACACATAGAGCAGTAGTAATATTAGAGATACTGCAGTAATAATACTACACATACTGCAGTAGTAATACTACACATACTGTGGTGGTAATATTAGAGATACTGCAGTAATAATACTACACATACTGCAGTAATAATACTACACATACTGCAGTAATACTACTACACATACTGCAGTAATAATACTACACATACTGCAGTAATAATACTACACATACTGTAGTAATACTACTACACATACTGCAGTAGTAATATTAGACTACTGTAGAACTTAAAGGTAATGTGTACCCGTATCCAGCTAGGAAGCCGAGACTCGGAGGGCTGACTTTATCACTGAACACAAAAAGCTGAAGCCCTGCCTCCCTCCTGTCACTCAATGAGGCTCCACCCCCAACATGCACCAGGCTTGTGGCCGGTTGGTCGACAATCCACCACTCCTGGATCTCTCGACTCTGATTGGTTGACCGCTCCAGGGCCAGCAGGATGTCCTTATAGTGGCCGCCTGATTGGAGGAGAGAAGCCATGTCAATCTCTTATTTATTATTATTATTATCTTGTTTTGTGCGGGCGGCTGTGGCTCAGAGGAAGAGCAGGTCGTCCTCTAACCCCGGCTCCTCCTGCCACATGTCGAAGTATCCTTGAGTAAGATACTGAACCCCGAATTGCTCCCTATGCTGTGTGAATGTGTGTGAATTAGTTAGTTTCTGTTCGATGGGCTTTGTCATCACTGAGTGAATGTGGCTGTAGAGTAAAAACGGTTTGAGTGGTCCGAAGACTAGAAAGGCACTATACAAGTACATGTCCATTTACCATGTCTTTGTGATCTGTTTTGTGTCTACGACCTGTATGGTCTTTTGATTTGCATGGAGTCGGTGTGTAATTATGCTAAAACAATGTCGGACTCCGTAGTTTTCTCTGGACCCCTGCCCAATGTGACCAGTGATGACATGTATAGACGCATGTCGTCATTCCACCGCTGGCTGTCAAGGGGGGGTCCAGAAAACGATGTGGGCTTCATTGATAACTGGAAGCCTTTTTGGGGAAAACCTGGTCTGATTAGGAGAGACGGCATCCATCCCACTTTGGATGGAGCGGCTCTCTTATCTAGAAATATGGCGACGTTTATTTCTAAAACCTGACAGTCCAGAGTTGGGACCAGGAAGTCCTACCACTGTCCTACACACTTATCTGCGCTTTCTTTAGAAAAGTCACCCACCCAAAACCCCATAGAGACTGTGTCTGTCCCCCGACCACCTAAATCATTTAAAGAAACAAAAACAAGAGGAGTTCAACATAAAAACCTAATAAAAATTAAAACCAACTCCTCAGTAGCACAAAATAAAAGATTCTGATGTTCTCTTGTTCTTGGCCCCAAAAACCTTAGAGACTCATTGTCTAAAGATATAGTTACTCTAGATGGCATTACCTTGGCCTCTAGCACCACTGTCAGGAATCTTAGAGTTATCTTTGATCAGGATTTGTCATTTAATTCCAACATAAAGCAGACCTCTTCTTCTTTCAATTATGTAATATTAGAAAAATTAGACACATACTATCACAGACAGATGCAGAAAAACTAATCCATGCATTTGTTACTTCAAGGCTGGATTACTGCAACTCTTTATTATCAGGTTGCCCCAGTAAGTCCATTAAAACGCTCCAATTAATTCAGAATGCCTGAATCAACAGTGATTTCAGTTGGTTGTTGTTGTTGTTGTTGTTGTGTATGTGTGTAAATATAAACACCTGTGTAAAGCTGTTCGATGGGTTTAGCGTTGGAGTCGCTGGGAGCTCTGATGAAACATGGAAACACTTCTTGTATCACCCTGAAAACAAACACAGACAACAACAATATTATTATTTTATATATAACGAGGTAAACTAGACTCGATGCTTCACTTCCTGCTACTACAGGAAGTGATGTAAGAACGCATCATCAAACACAAACTGTCAACTGTACACACAAAAACACTGTGCTGCTTGATGTTAATCAGGTTTCCATTGGCTTCCACTAGCATGTTGGCTATTAACTGTATCTCACTAAGGTTTAGAATCCCGCCCCGCTGTGCACATAGCCCGCCCCTGTACTCACACAGGAAGTGTCCTTGTTCCGTTCAGCAGCTGGATCAGCTCCAGACGAGTTTGATCGTCCAGGTAGGTCACATGTTTACCTGAAGCAAGCTCCACCTTCGCCCCCAGACTCAAGTTCCTGTAAATAAAACTGGTTTCAGGTTGCTGATTTCTACTGATACTAGTAATGCTAACACTACTGATACTAGTACTGCTAATACTAATGATACTACTGCAACTCTGATGTTAAACTCAGACAAAACTGAAATTCTTGTTCTTGGCCCCAAAAAAAGACTCACTGTCTAAAGATATAGTTACTCTAGATGGCATTAACTTGGCCTCTAGCACCACTGTCAGGAATCTTGGAGTTATCTTTGATCAGGATTTGTCATTTAACTCCCACATAAAGCAGACCTCTAGGACCGCCTTCTTTCATTTACGTAATATTAGAAAAATTAGACACATACTATCACAGACAGATGCAGAAAAACTAATCCATGCATTTGGTACTTCAAGGCTGGATTACTGCAACTCTTTATTATCAGGTTGCCCCAATAAGTCCATTAAAACGCTCCAATTAATTCAGAACGCTGCAGCACGAGTACTGACAGGAACTAGAAAAAGAGATCACATCTCTCCTGTACTAGCTTCTCTGCATTGGCTCCCTGTAAAATGTAGAATAGAATTTAAAATCCTCCTCCTCACCTATAAAGCTCTTCATGGTCAGGCCCCTTCATATCTTAAAGAGCTCATAGTACCCTATTACCCCTCTAGAACACTACGTTCTCTGAATGCTGGGCTACTTGTGGTTCCTATAGTCTCTAAAAGTAGAACAGGAGCCAGAGCCTTCAGTTACCAAGCTCCTCTCCTGTGGAACCAGCTTCCAGTTGTGGTTCGGGAGGCAGACACCCTCACCACATTCAAGAGTAGGCTTAAGACATTCCTCTTTGATAAAGTTTATAGTTAGGGCTGGATCAGGTGAGTCCTGAACCATCCCTTAGATTCAAGATTCAAGATTCAATACTTTATTGCCATACAACTCGGTGCAAGTTGCTAGGGATTTGCTTCAGTGTGCTCAAGACATCAACAAAGTCAGAAAAAAAGGACACAGAACATGTAAATACATATACAACACAAGGGCTCCAATACATATACGGTTTCCCACACAGGATCACACTTGGCGCAGGCAGATAAAAAGGCATACTGTTCACAGCATACCTGGATGACAGCCAGGAGGCTAGAGTGATAGATGTCAAGTTAAAGTTACATGGTGCATAGGGATGCAGAGCGCAACCACGACTTTACAATAAATAAATCAATGCCTCTTAGTTATGCTGCTATAGGCCTAGACTATTGGGGGATTTCCCATGATGCACTGAGCTCCTCTCTCTGTCTCTGTCTCTCTGTCAAGTCCATTCAATTCAAATGGCTTTATCGGCATGACGTAACACTGTACATATTGCCAAAGCAACGGTTTGGAATTAAAAATAATAATAATAACAATAAAGGAAAACAATATTTACAATAAATTAATTATAATCTATACTGTTGGTAATACTGTAACTATGTGTGTGTGTGTGAGTGTGAGTGTGTGTGTGTGTGTGTGTGTATATATTAAAAAACAACTAAAACAATCAATTATTTTATACATTTATCTGAGTTTCCACTGGTTGTCCTCACTTCGTGGCATGAGGAGACATATTTTGCTGCAATAATTTGACTTTTGGGCATTTCTCCCAGTAAATAGGGGAGTTTCTGTGTGTCTGATAATAATTCGAATTCGGGGTATATTTGGGAAATGTTTGCGAATTGTTTTTCTCTTAAAGTTTTGAATTGAGGGCATGAGGTTAGAAAGTGCAGCTCTGTCTCTACCTGTCCTCTGTCACACTGGGAGCAGAGTCTCTCCTCTTCTGGTAGCCAGTTCTGTCTGTGGCGACCCGTTTCTATGGCCAGGCTGTGTTCACTCAGTCTGTACACTGTCAACATTTTTCTTAGTTCAGGACATTTTATTGTGATCAGGTAATTTGCCAGTGTGAATTCTCTTTTTAGGGTCAGATAACATTGTAATTTACTTTGTGTTTTGGTCGTTTCTTTCCAGTATTCAATATATTTTTCTTTTTGCTTGTTGATAATTTGGTTTGGTCTGATTGAGTTGGTGTTGCTGTCCTGAGGCTGTTGGGGACATGTTACTGCAGAGAGCCTCAGGACCAGCTGGCTGAGGGGACTCTTCTCTGGTTTCAGCTCCTGGTATGTTAGGGCTTTGTGATGGTATGTCTGGGGGTTAACTGATTTTAAGTGATTGTAAAATTGAATTGATCTTTTCTGTATTTTTAGTAGGAGGGGGTATTGGCCGAGTTCTGCTCTGCACAGATTATTTGGTGTTTTTCTCTGCACCTGCAGGATGCTCTTACAGAACTCGGTGTGGAAAGATTCTATGATTGTTTTGTCCCATTTGTCAAATTCATTATTTAGTTTTGGTCCCCGAATTTCGCTGCCATATAGAATTATTGGTTCTAGTACAAATTGGAAATGTTTAAGCCTCTCTCTCTCTCTCTCTCTCTCTGTCTCTCTCTCTCTCCCTGTCTCTCTCTCTCTCTCTCTCTCTCTCTCCATGTCTCTCTCTGTCTCTCCCTGTCTCTCTCTCTCTCTCTCTCTCTCTCTGTCTCTCTCTTTCTCTCTCTGTCTCCCTGTCTCTCTCTCCGTCTCTATCTCTCTCTGTCTGTCTCTCCCTGTCTCTCCCTCTCTCTCTCTCTCTCTCTGTCAGTTTCCGGGTCTGAAAAGTGAAGTAAATGTCTTAAAACCTGCATTCTATGTAAAGGCCAGCAGGGGGAGCTCCACTAAGTATTTGAACTACTACTCTTACCACTACCTATGAGTACTATTACTGCCACTAGTATTGACTATTGATCAGTGGAGTGGAGCTGACCTTTGAACAGTCCAGGACACAGTGAGGGGGAAGTGGTCCAGGTTGAGGACCTGACTCAGGTACTGCCTGCTGGGAGGACTGATGGTCCACAGAGAGTTACTGCTGCCCTGCAGCTCAGCTACCGTGACATCCTCACTACTATATGCCTCTAGGAACTGCAAGGCACTCTGGGAAACACAGAACACAGAGTTACAAGCTGTAGAAGCTTTACTGCAATCAGTGTGTGTACTAGTACTGCACAGAACTTACAGGCGTGTAGCTGTAGGAGCTGATGAAGGAGCTGAAGTCTTCCTCAGTCAGATCTTTGAGCTGATTCTGTTGAGCGCTCATCGTGAAGATCGGCTGTCAACAACAACAACACGTCACAGTGCTGCTAATGCTCCTACTGCTGCTATACAGGTACAGATGAGTCATACAGGTGAGTCGGTGCAGGTGAGGTTACCTGGAAGCCTCCCAGCGTAATGGTCAGAGAGACGTCAAGCGGTCGGTTCACGACTCCAGCCACAGATTTGATGAGCGACATGAAGAGCAGCGGGAACCAGACGATACAGATGAGCAGCAGAACAATGAGCCCCCCCATCCCATACTTCACCACCCGCTTCTTCTTCTGGCCACGAGGCTGAGGGTACCTCTGTGTACAAATACACACAAATACTCACAAGTAGATAAATATATACAAACACATAAACAAACACAAAGACAGATGGAGACAAACCTTTTCAGACTCCCTCCAGCACTTTAAGACAAAGCAGTGGGCATAAACGTCCTCAACACAGATCCAAGAGGACAGAGACAGAGTGGTGTCTGTCCACACCCAGTCCATCACCGCCCTCAGCTCCGTCAGGAAGGGAACCAGACGGAAGCTACAAGCAGACAGGTGGAGAGACAGACAGCCAGAGGTAACGTGTCACAGTAATGTCTGGGGACATCAGTCTGGTACAAAGCTGCTACAGCCTGTGGCAGGCTGTGTATTTTTACCCTTTTCATGGAGCTAGGCCAGGTCATCTGCTTGCAGTCTTTGTGCTAAGCTAGGCTAACAGGGTCAGTGCTGGACTCACCCCTGGAACAGGAAGAGGTTGAGGTAGTTGTAACTCTTCGTCAGGAAGTTTCCCAGAACTCGTGTTGGGTAACCAGATCGAATCTGATATGCCGACAGACCAAAGTAAACGCACTTGACAAAATACCAGAGTTGAGCCACCAGGTTCTGATTGAAACGCCTAGAGACAGACAGACAGACAGACAGGCAGACAGATAGACAGATAGACAGACAGACAGACAGACAGACAGACAGACAGACAGACAGGTGTTATTTACAGCAGTGTTCACATCGCTAACAACAACATACTGATTTGTTTTATATTTAGTTTATCAGTAGTTTAAATTTAGTTTATGAGTAATTTATTAGTCATTTATACGTTGTTTACCTCTCAGTGACCGTTGGAAGGATGAAGAACATCCAGAAATGAATCCCAAAAACCAAAATCACCTGGAAGACCAACTTCCCCAAAACTGTCTTCCTCAAATACAGTGCCCTGTCTATCACCATGGTACCTGCAAACAGACAGGTGGGAAGTGAGACAGGTCAAAAGATAGACAGGTAAAGACACAGATTGACAGACAGACAGGTAAACATACCAAACTGGATCAGAACCATCACCAAGAAAGCTTCAGGAACCTGGTCCTCTGAGAGGGAGGAAGTGATGTCAGCAGCTGCAGAGTGTTTCTGAGAATTTTAAATAAAATGAAATAAATGAAAACAGATTCCAATAAAATAAACCAGATTTAAATAGAGTAAAGTCCAGTGAGGTAAATAAAGTGTGGTGCTACGCGGTCAGGAAATCAAACTTTACTCCGAAGGCCCAGAAGCCGAAGACAATGATGATGAAGTCGACGGTGTCGGCCAGGAACATGAGGACGTAAACATCAGTGACGGCGCTGTATTCTGGTTGGACGAGAGCTCTGAAGAACTGAAGGACGGGACGGTAGAGAGACATACACCTAACACACAGAAAGAAAGAGAGAGAGAGGGAGATTCATGGAGCTTTATTGAAGTCAACACATTAACAAACAACAACGACAATAACATGAAATTGAATTTTTACATAAAGGGTATTCATATGACATAAGTAAAGCAGAAACACAACAACAACAACAACAACAACGACAACAACAATATTCTGATGAATGATAATAATAATAACACTAAGGAGGAAGAAGAAGAATACTCCATAGCTTTGTGGTCTAATAGAGATTAAAGAATACTTATAGATCTAGGACTCAAACAATTCTTATGAATGTTTTGAATTTGGAGAATATTAGTTTGTATATATATATTTCAGTATTTTTTCAGACAGTACTTCCCACTGTTTTACTCTTTTTTTTCTTATTGTCATTTTGCTTTTGTTGTTTTCTCTGTAATCTATCAATTATAAAATCTGTTGGTGAACAAAGTCGAGTGTCACTGGGCACTGGTTAGCTTTAGTGTTAGCATACCTGCTAACAGAGTACGTCTTGGCTCTAATGGAAAGTTCTCTGAGTTTCTCCAGCAGCAGATCCAACCGGCCGGGCTGCTGAGCTCTGGAGCTCACGCTGCCTGAAGAACAAAACAAGGAAAACGACAACAATCATGCATCATTTCTACCATCTTTTAGCAGTCTATCCACTTTGTGGAAAATTAAGCCTATCCCCATCCTCCAGCTCCTCCCAGTTGGATATGCCTCAAAAATCTCCACATGGAGTCCACATGGCATCCTAATTCACTAATTCACTGCAGCTGACTACTTTGAACAGGAGGGAGCGATGGTTCTCCATCGAGCTCCTTCCAGATGTAACTAATCAGTCCCTCCAGGATCTCACAGGCTGTTTTTGGGATTGTTGCAGCCTAAAATGTCTGATTTCACAGCAGCTTTTCTAAAATATAACAATATTGCAGTAATTAGTGAAAATTGCAAAATGAGTTGCAGTTATGTTTTTTTGGTAGTTCAGTGAGAATAAAATCACACTGTTCGGGTAAATGTCCACATGGTCTGATCCTTCACAACTACGAAAAAAGGGAGTGAGTTTGGTGACGTATCGCTCACCACTTTGCAGAGGAAATTTCAATGACTGGACAAACAAAAACAAGAAAAGTTGTACTGATTAGACAAAATGGTAAGGTTGCACAGTATTCATGGGGATTGGTTGAATTTGTGTTTATTTTCCAAGGTTCCCACATCCTGGAAAATCTGGAAAACCTGAACATTTTGAGATTAGTTTTCCAGTCGTGTAAACCTGAAAATTGATTAAAATGACCAAATATCATAATATCATGGAGATAATCTCTGTTGTCCTGGTAAATTTTAATTGTATTCTATCCTAACTCAGATCACATAAACCTGGATGTGTTGGTCGGATAATCTGCTTGCTGTGACACATAAAAGCAGAACAATGCTCCTTTTTTTATTTCTGGTCTCATGTCTTGTTCAATTACCTGCAGAGAACTTTGGACATTAATCAAAGATTTGAATTGTTATTTCCCATAAATGCTGACCACCACTGTGAGCAACTGCTGTCCTGTATTGTCAAGAAAAACTCCTGGAAATGATTTCTTAAAAAAAGAGTAGGAACTCTGATTGTTGCAACTTCCTGGATAGACTGACTAAGACTGCAGAGGAATCGTATTTCTAACGACCCATAATGACCATCAATGAGGGTTGGAACAAAGATTGAACTACCAGAACCACATCATCTGCAAGGAGTAGAGCTGCAATCCTGAGCTCACCAACCCGACACCCTCCACACCTCAACTGCATCATCAGATCCCATTCACGAAAACCAGGATCAGTGACAGGAATGACCCTGGTCCAACACAGTGTGACTGTATCCGTTATTTCAAAGAATGGATTCAAATATTCCTGCAAATGCCGTGGTTAAGTTAAATTATTCTATAAATCTTCCTCTTACAGCCTTCGTAGTTCATATTATTGATGTGTCATTGTTTATTTCAATATAATTTAACTTTTATTAATAAGAATTAAGATCAGTTTTTTTTGGGGTGTGATAGATTCTACCTGCTGGAGAGCGCAGCTGGGTGGAGCTGGAGCGTGTTCGCCTCCTGCGACGCAGCACGTCGATGGGGTTGGCTGGATCAATAGAGGTGGCACCGTCAGCGGAGTCTTCCTGGTGATGGAGTGTGTCGGTCTCCATGGTAACAGTCTGGTCCCACAGTCCATGGCACTGCGGTGGATGAGGAGGAAGGTGGAGGAAGTCGTAGAATGTAATTTTTTACATTGACTATGGCTCTTGAAATGTAGTGTTTTTTTACCTTGAGTATGGCTCGGTGGTAGAACAAGGCAAGCAGCTGCAGCAGGTCGTACAGGACATAGCCCTCCTTCTTCTCCACCCCGAGGATGTTAGGGGGGTGGAAGGGTTTAGAGCGGTCCACCTCCAGCTTCTGGTTGAATGGAAAGAAACCAAACTGGAAGAAATACTTGATGACGATGGTAACCTGAGGATACAGACAGGTAGACTTATTGTTAATAATAATAATGATGTGAATAATGAAGTTTTAAATAAAGTTTAATAACAGCAGCAGAGCACCTCGGTATAGATGATGGCTGTCATCCAGAAGGTCTTACTGGGTCGAGGTACGGACAGCGTGGCCCAGAGAAACACCAGAACAGGAAGTACCAACGTCAGACAGCTGGCAGACACCATGTGGTTCAGCACGATGACCAGGTAACATACTGTCTCTGACCTGACAACAAGACTGAGAATCTTAGCAACCAGAGAGGAATCTGTGGAGTTACCTGTGGTGTATGAGTTTACCTGGCGGCCAGGATGTTGTAGAGGGCGTAGCACAGCTGGAGCAGCTGGTGTTGGTTGCCGTAAAAACGGTCTGATGACTCGAGCTCCTCGTCATAGAAAGTTCTGAAACACAGAGCGAAGCAGAGTGTGAACCAACAGCAGCTTACAGGTGAATGATCTCTGTGACTCACCTGTGACTTACCTGTTCTTCAGCAGCTCACTGGCCGTAAGCTCCTGAGTGTGAGACGCCAGCACACAGGAAGTGGAGGCAGAGTCAGACAGGAAGTCACTCCTCTGCCCTGGAGTCTGAACCAGCATCCGCCTCCTCCTCCTTCTCCTGTGTTCCCCCACCTCCTCCTCATGCAGGTCCAGGCCCAGAGCAAGGCTGTAGGAGGGGGGGAGGAGGAGGGAGGAGGGGGAGGTGGGGGAGGAGGCGCTGGTGAAGGTAGGAGTCGGTTGTGTGTCAATAGGAAGTTGCTGGTTTGATTCTTCACCACTGTTCAAACAGAAAGAGATAAATACTTGAGTCACTGAGGGTAATGCTAAGTTAATTTCCTGGTCTGCAGAGATTTTGTTGATTTTCATTGCAACTCCTCTGTAACAACAGTGTTTACCCTACTATTTCATGTCAAAATGGTCACTGTGAAAAAGGTCTATTGAAAGATAAATCATGTTTAAGCAGGCTTTTGTTTTGCGTGCAGGTAAACAGTCTGTGGACAGCAAGAGAGGACGACCACTTTCCAGAACCCATCGTCTATCGTCAGATGACGATTTAGCTTTTAATTAGTATCGACTACTTCAGAGCTCAGCCCAGTCTCTTTACACCAACTAAATTCTCGCATCTCAAGTTGATAATCAGACTGTAAACAATGAATTAATGAATGTGCTCAGACAAGGAAGTCTTGGCCCGGATAACAATAACGAAATATCAAACTATTGAAAAATCAATCACATGGGATGGAAAGCCACCACCATAACAACATATGGTGTTACATCATCATGTCATGTTCTGTGTTTGTTTTTTTACAACAAGAAAGCATCACAGAGCGGCGAGGCTGAAGAGACTCACAGCAAAAGCATTGTCTGAAATGCAGTGATACTCAGTATCCCACAAATCACAGCCTGGACCACTCACATCACTTCCACCTCACCCACTTTGGAAAAACTCCCGACTAGAAATAAAACGCAGATTGGTCTGTCTGTCTGTCTGGCTTAGTTCTCCAGATTAACCGTACTTCAGGAGGTCCAACCAATGGACAGATTAAGGCGGGGCTTCATTCATTCCAATGGAATCTGCTCAGTGGCACATGAAGCTGTAAAAGTTCAACTCCCAAGTATAAAACTATCCAGATCGGGGCGCCTGGTTAGCTCAGTCGGTCGAGCTGGCAAACCATATATGCAGCGGCCCGGGTTCGAATCCGACCTGCGGCCCTTTGGTGCATGTCATACCCCCTCTCTCTCTGCCCCCCTTTCTGTCTCAAGCTATCTCTGTCAATAAAGGCATAAAAGGCCAAAAAAGAATCCGTATGGGTATCCTTCCGCATATAAAATTATCTAATTGTGCAGCTCTTCATAGTGAAACAAATCATTTTGAGCAGGTCATGACACATCGCTATACAACCGTTTCTTTCACAGCTAATGGGAAAAGTCTTTTGGGGCTGCTGTGCAATTATATGGTTTGGTCACTATGTCAAATTGACTGAAGCCCGGCACTCTTTCTGAAGGCTTGGGACTAACCTGTAAGTCCGACTGATCCTTTCTTCCTCTGAAGATGACGAAGAGGATAAAGACTGGACTCTCTTCATCCTTGAAAGTTTGGGTCGCCATCTTTGGCTCGTTTTAGCCACAAAGAATACTGGGTCCCCTTCTGCTGTCTCTGGTTTAACTGAAACTGTTTCACCTGAACCTCCTGATACTGGTTCTGTTTTATCAGGACCATCTGCTGCTGATACTAGTTCCGGTCCTGGTTCAAATGGATCTCCTCCTGATAATGGCTCTGGTTCTGGTTTATCTGGATAATCTCCTCCTGGTTTAGTGTCTGGTTTCACCTCTGCTGTTTGACCTTGTGCTTCTTCTTCATCTGTATCAGGATTCACTTCCTCTTCCCTTCCTCTCTCTGCTGAGGTCTGCACCTCGACCTCATGGAAACTGTAGTCCAGGCCTGACTCTCTGGAGGTTTTCATCATCTGTTCTTGGTAGTAAACATGGATTGCCTCTCTATTGGGAACATTGCCCTGAACAAACAAACAAACATTAAAAAGAATTCGACACCACTGAAACAAACAGCTCAATCTTGGTTTTAGTTACAACACTTCCACCTGATGTGGAACTGTAGTGGACTGTAGTCCTGAGTGAGTACCTGCTTGGCCTGCTGCATTAACATGCAGCGCTCAATGCGGAGGACGGTGGAGATGTCAATGTGTTCCTGACACAGACCCCTGACCCAGGCAGTCAGAGAGTCCAGCAGAGCGGACATCAGAACCCAACAGAATCGCAATGTGTTGGAGAACCGACGCAACACCGTGTCTGAAACACACAACACCAGCTGATGATAGACGTCCTCAGGGTTCACAAACACAGTTTTTAAGTGATAGTGAAGGGCTCTATGCTTACTTTCATTTTACCTGCTACTTCTTTTCAGTCTTTGCAATTTGTAATTTGATGGCATTGTTACTTATTTGTGTCTTGTGCTGCTGTAACACCTGAATTTTCCCTCTGATGGATCAATAAAAGATGATTTTATCTTATGTTTATTTGTAGTTTTACACCATTCAAAAACACAATTTCCCATAATCCCACAGACCAGTAATAACAGCTGGACAGAAGGGACTAAATGTTGACAGCAGAAATCAAAGCTGCAAAACTGATGCAATTACTTTGGCAGAGAGCGTTGGTGAATTTTATGGATATGGATGAAACCAAAGTACAATGATGTAAATATCCAGTTTTTCATGGAAGTTGTAGTTTTTTCTGTGCTCACACTGTTTTTATGTCAACTGTGTAGTTGTAGTTGTAGCTGAGTTATGTCAGAATACAGAAAATAAACTTAAGGAACAAGCACTTCAGCTCTCTATGTACAGTTAAACAAATAAGAAAATAAAGGCAGCAGATAGACATGCTGATTAATTATTTATTGATCTGATATGAATGAGTAAAGCGTCTTTCCTCACAAAGGATCTTCAGTTGCGTACACAAACATGACCACTACCTGAGTGATTATTACAATGTTCCAGCTGGTCGACCTCTTACCTGGCCCCTCCTCTTTCTCGTCCTCCTCCTCTTCCTCCTCCCTGTCCTCCTCTGTCACTTCTATAACTCCAGCTGCTGAACAGGTGGGGGAGTCGGTTAGTTTGGTTGGTTTAGGATACACAGATATGCAGATGACACACACTCTTCATTTACAATGTCTGGATAACATGAAGACGTCCTGTAGTTACACTGAGTAAAGACTACTGTTTGTATGTCAGGTAGATATCACTGGACTCACCTCACAACTGAAAAGCTGACTGACTGAGTACAAAGGTGCTCTGTAGAGTTCTTTAAATTTCATCTAGATGTTTCTGTCTGAATGTTTTAACTTGTTGGACTTCCTTGAATCAATATTCATTGAAATACAGGATCATCTTTTAGGAACAATCGACTTCCATCACTACAATCAATCAATTTTTTCTTTATTCATTAACACCTGAAAAGGTCTCTAATTAGCAAAGATTCATAACACTTCAAGGATCTCAATACAATGTATTTCATCTGGTAAAATAATTGTACATTTCTCAATCAATTAGGGCTGTAACGGTTCTGAAACTGAGACAGAACCGTGACACACTTGCCCCCTGGACTGTTGAGCTCTCGTTAAGACAGTGTAACTGCGGCGGTGGTGGCGGCCTGTGGGGTGGTAGCGGTGTACGCCTATATCGTATCTGTATTGACAGTAGGTTATTCTAGGTCATTTTCCACCTTATTTTAGTGTTTATTTACTACTTTAATCTGCTCCCTTTCTCTTCTCCCCACACTAACACACAGCACACACACCTAGCCTGGACCTCTGGTCACTCACGGCAAACACACCCACTTGCTCCGCCTCATTCTGTCTCTCTCTCTCCCTGTGTGTGTCTCTGCTGACTTTCTCCATCCGCAGTACGTTTCATAAACTCACCCGTGATTCAGTTTTCAAGTGCGCTGCATGTGGGTCCAAACCGAAACTAACGTTAGTGAGTGACATCTTCAGTGGTGCGTTCACTGACGCTCCGTAATGTAAGATTTCTGCCGTATCCGCTTAATGTAATATCAGATAACATCTCCCTCTCTCTGTTTCTCTGCAAAATGGGGAAACGGGGAAAACCGTGGTATGAACCGAACCATGGCTCAAAAATCGAGGTCTGAACCGAACCGTGGATTTGGTGAATCGTTACACCCCTACAATCAATACGATCAAAAATCAATATTGCATTACAGCTGCTTGAATGTTGTTTTACACGATCTTTGTTTTTATCTTCTTAATGTTTGATTATATTAATAAAGGGGAGGAATCTTCATAAACAATTTTTGGCTTCAAACCTCTCCTGCACATTGTTAAATTTTTATTCTATTCTATTATTGTACGGTATATATATGGAGCATGTGCAAATGAATGAATAAACTAAACTTGTTTCATTAGTTTGAATTGTGAGCATTCATGTTCATGTCAGACGAGTGTTTAGAAACTGAAGAACTTCATGTGTCCACTCAACACCACGTCTCCTGCTCCTCCTCACCTCCTCTCTTCTCCTCTTTTTTGCTCCTTTGTTCAGAGGAGTTCTTCTTCCAGAGTTTCTTCTGGTTGTTGCGAGCTCTCATTGCTGTTCTGGAGTCTGTTATCCAGGCGTGATAGACAAACTGACACAGAAAGACAGACAGACACTGCTCAGTTTCTGGAGGCAAATGCATCTTTATTTCCTCCTTCAGTCTACTCTTTTGTGTTGTATCACTGTTACTGAATCTGCTGAATCATTTGTTCTTCCTTCATTACAGTTAGTTGCCACCAGAGATTGGTTGTCCCTTAAAGGAGGGGTTCCAAACCTGGGGGTCAGGATGCCCACTAGGGATCGCCATGGTTTAACTGAGAAGAAAACATTGAATCTGTCAAAAAAAGAAGCCTATTAACTCTGTATGATTGTTAAAAATGATAAAAGTCGCAAGGAAGATAACTGTTTGTAACCGGACAAGAGCGATGCAATTTAAGATACTGCATAGAGCACTTGTTGATCCAAACTGTCTCTCCAAATACAGAAAGGATGTCTCTGAAATTGGTGATCTTACTCACTGTTTCTGGTCCTGTGTAAAAATACAAAAATATTGGAGTGTCTTGTTTGAAATACAGAAGGATCTGAAAAAGGAGCTTGAACTCGACCCGGTTTCCCTCCTTCTGGGTCTTCACAGTGATCGTGTACCTAATTTAACCCTCCTGTATTCCTGGGGTCATTTTGACCCCCCAAAAAATGTTTTGCTGTCAAAATATGTTTTTTTTTTGTCATCAAATGGTCTGAAAATAAAGGGGTTGTTCAATACTATGCTCTTCATCATTACAATAAATTTTAAATAATTTGATTGAATTATGGGTGTCATTATGACACCTGTTGTCCTCTGAGGTCAAAAAGACCCCGCAATGGGGCATATTGTCACACCATACTGCTACACAAGCGCGCGCACACAGACACATACACACACACACACACACACACACACACACACACACACACAGCTTTGATGTATCAAAACATCAAAGGTGATTGATCAAGCAATTCAAACAAAAACAGGTCTTTTTTCAGAGATGTTGGGGCATTTCACATTTTAGTCAGAAAGAGACAGGCCCCTCACCGAGCTCAACCTCACCGATCTCCCCCTCACCCAGCTGCCCCTTCTGGCCCATCACTCAAAAGGGGCAGATGCAAATTCTGCCCTTGCCAGAGGGATCTGAAAACCTCCACAATATGCCAAAAATGCAATGCATACATCTGCAAAGATCATGCCATGACTACCTGCCTCGCATGCAACTGAGGGTTAGTTTAGAAAAGTTAAACGTTTTTTAAATGAATATTGAAATGTTGTATATATGTCAGGGAATGAGTTGAATAAAGTTGACTAAAAAGTTGAAACACAGAGGTGGGTGATAATTTATACTTTATGCTATAAATAACAGTCAAACCAGTTGGGGTCATTTTGACACAAAAGGTGTCATGATGAGCTGCCATTAAAAAAATTCAAATGATTCAAAAACAGCATCCTCAGTAAACTGTGACAGATACCTAAATTTGTGGTAATGGGTTGGACTGAAGTAAGACTGAAGGTGTTACACAGAATTGATTGATAATTTATACTTTATGCTATAAATAACATTCAAACCAGTTGGGGTCATTCTGTCTCCAGATGACAAAAGGTGTATGGCAATCGCGAAGACAATACGAGGCATATATCAGAAAAAACTGTATAATGTTATGACATTTTGTGCCAGGAAAAATATTCTTCAGCACTGGATCTCAGATAAGGCCCCCTCAGTGGTGGGATGGCAAAGGACAATAATGGAATACATACCTCTGGACTTTCTCACCTGTCTTCTGCACTCCAAAACTAATGCCTTTGAAAGAATATGGAAACCATTTCTTGACTATATTAATGTAAATATTTCTGCCATACTGACAAGAGCATTTGTATAAAAAACTGTATTATTTATTTCTGTTTTCTTTCTTTATTCAGCTCCGACTGTATTTCACTTTATACTGCATAATGTACCTGTCATATTTACCTGGAACCGATCGTTCTGTTTGGGTTTTTGGTTTTTGTGTTGTTATTCCCAGCTTGTTGTTGTTTTGTTGTTTTGTCTTCTGTATGTTTGTTTATAAAAAATTAATAAACACATATAAAAATTTTTAAAAATAAGCGGGGAAGGCAATTTTGACAATGTGACTGCTAATTCATTTAAAGCTGCACTAATCAATATTATTGTAATAACAATGGATCAAATTACGATGTGTAATATGAAAGGGTTGACAAACCAAGAGAGAATTATCACCTGATTCTGCCATTCCTCTGAACTCTATGGAGCATTTTAGTATCTGTCAGCTCATTGTTTTGGATTTATGGCCTGTAATTTTACTGTTTTGATTCACTCTCACCACTATCAACCTTGTTTCCAGCTGCAGCAGGCAGCTGTTTTCAACATAAAACACTCTAAAAATCCACTGTGCACTACCTGCCCAGCACCAAACTGCACACTGACAGAGTAAGAGGCTAGCTGGTGAATATAGTAAAGCATTAAGCAGCGAGAAAGCGAGATGGAGAGGGTAGAGACCAAAAATAGAGCTAATGTCTGCTGTATAAAACGGCAACTCCAGTATTAACAAAGGTTTAATAAACATATGGTAGTAATATTTCAGTGTTGTGTTTCCATGTTTGCCAGTTCCACCACATCAGTGTGGTTTGTAATAAGAAAAAGTAATGAATGCAGCTTTAAAGTTGACCAACAAAATCAGCTGTTAAAGTCTAAACATCCACTCTATCAAAAATCAGTCTGGTGTATGAACCATGTATAATGATGATTAAGGGTCCAGTGTGTAAAGTTTAGGAGGATATACTGGTAGAAATGGACTACAATATTCATATCTATGTTTTCATGACCTCAAAATAAAAATTGTTATGTCTTCAAAAAATAATAAAAGCCAATCAGTTTATTGGACCATTTTGTTCAAACCTACCACTAACGTCCAAAACCCACTGGCTGTGACAGAGGCTGCCAGGTCAAGCAGAACAGAGGAGATCACATTAGCAGGAAGTCGGACACAGATCAGTCAATAGACCAGCTGCGAGTTCTCTGCGGGTCACACTGGAGAGACGCTTCAGGCCTTAGCCGCACCCAGTGGGTTTCGGTGGGTATGTTCATATTATTAACCCTTTCTTCTCTGCTCTGCTGCTTTATAACCTTGTTGAAAATCTAAATACTACAATAACAGAACTGTTGATCTATTATCTGTTGAAGAAGACCTTGTGAAACAGCTGACAGCTCCACAAAAACTACTAAATGGACCCTGAGGTAAAATGAGATGATGTGAGACTCTCACTTGGAAGGCTGATTTCTCAGGTAGCTCCTCCTCCTTCTTCTTCTCCTCTTCGTCCTTCTTTTCCTCCTCCTCCTCCTCCTCCTCCTCCTCCTCCTCCTCCCCACTGTCGGTCTCAAACAGGTAGTAGTCCCCACTCCTCACCACTGCGGGCAGACAGACACTTGCTTAAAAAGACCAAAAACAAAATGGCGCTGATTGTGCAAGAGGTCATGTAACTCACTGGAGGCGTGGTTTACCCATGGTCTCCACCACTCTTTCTGCCGCCGCCCCTTTTTGTTCTCTACACATCATAAAATGATAAAAATTAAATTAAATGAAAATAAAATAAAAGCATTCATCCTTTATGTGTATTTCACATTGTTTCCATGGCAACCACTGTTTGATTACAAACCATTGGTATGGAAGCTGTCTTGGGTCAAACTCAACATCTTCTCTTTTCCTCTGCGAAACTTCTGCTGCCGAGACTTAATCCGCTCCATCCTGACGGAAACACAGATAGGAGGTTGACTGGATCAGTGTCCGTGTTTCAAGGTGTGTTCCAGACTGTGATTTGGACTGCAGCTGTGTTTGAGTCTTACTGTCTCTTGAGCAAGTTCATGGACGTCTTCTCAACCTCCAGTCTCGCTCTGACCGCTTTCACTGTGGACGCCTCAAAGAGCTCTGCCCCTCTGCAACACACTTCCATTAGACCATGTGCCGGTATGTGTGTTTATGTGTGTTTGTGTGTGTGTACGCATGTGTGCGTGTGTGTGTACCTGGAGGCTAGTAGTTGTGTATTCTGCAGGTCCAGGACCACATACAGGAAGTAGTGACTCCTGAAGACCCTCCTCTGCAGTAACAGGAAACAGAAACAGACCCCGTCCCAGATGATCCCGGCCTCGTCACTCGGCAACTCACACTGTTTACTGCTCTGCTGCTCCGCTACAGGAAATGACACATTGTAAACAACATGTAAACAACAAACAGACAGACAGGTAGACAGAGATAGGTATACAATCGCTCTTTCTCAGTTCATACATCCTCGTGTCCTCTCCTCTTGTCTAAGTCTGTGCCTCCAGAGACACAATCAGAGGAGGAGGGGGACAGGCATTCAATAAAATGAGATGCAAATATTAGTTTTTCATTATGTACTTTCAAGTAAAAAGATTGTACCAAACTCCCTAATATCACATTTTAACAATTCCTAACGTGTTCGTAACAACACGTAACTCTAGAAACACAAGCTAAAGGCCGTCATATGTCCACAGTCTGACTGTCAATACAGGATCAATATCATCCATAAAGATACAGTGATTAGTAATCAATATCATCCATAAAGATACAGTGTATACTGATCAATATCATCCATAAAGATACAGTGTATGCTGATCAGTATAATCCATAAAGATAAAGTGTATTCTGATCAATATCATCCATAAAGATACAGTGTATACTGATCAATATCATCCATAAAGATACAGTGTATACTGATCAGTATAATCCATAAAGATAAAGTGTATTCTGATCAATATCATCCATAAAGATACAGTGTATCTAGTGTATTAGATACAGTGTATCTTTTCAACAGTGTTCTAAGATTGATTTCTGGGCCACAGGCAGGACACGAGGTGACACAATAGAGAAATGGACAGAGAGACAGGTAGACACAGAGACAGGTAGACAGACAGTTTACATACGTTTGGTGTATCCTTTGATGGTGCAGGCCAAACTGAAGAGCTGAATCAGCCAACAGTGATTCCACACCAGTGACTTAATGAAACCACAGGCCAGGATCTGGACAGACAGAAAGAGACAGACAGGCAGACAGACAGGTAGTTTAGTTCGATTCTTAAGTTATGAATGACTGATGCTAACAGCGTCTCAACTCTTGTGAAAGGTCAAAGGTCAAGCGACGAGAATGACGTTTACTTTACAGAGCACCATCAAATTTAATCCATGAATCCATTTTATCAAATATATGTATTTGAAAGTAAACAATGTCACTTAATTTAAAATATAAAATAAATGTCTACATTAAACAAGGGGATGATGATGATGATGATGATGATGATGGTGGTGATGATGATGGTGGTGGTGATGATGATAATAATAATAATGATGATGATGATGATGATGATTTCAATTCAATTCAATTTTATTTGTATAGCGCCAATTCATAACAGAAGTTATCTCAGGACACTTTTCAAATAGAGCAGGTCTAGACCGAACTCTTTATAACATTAATTACAGAGACCCAACAGTACCACCATGAGCAAGACCTTGGCGACAGGGGCAAGGAAACACTGCCTGTTAAAAGGCAGAAACCTAGGACAGATCCTTCGGCTCTAGGTGGGTGGTCGTCTGTCTTGACCAGTTGGGATGAGAGAGAGAGAGAGAGAGTAAGAGAGAGTGAGAGAGCGAGAGAGAGAGACAGACAGACAGACAGACAGGTGCACAGCCAGAACAGTAGCAACAACTACACTAATAGTAGTGACTGATGATGATGAACATGAAGATGATGATGACGACAACAACGATGGGGGACAATGGGCAGTGACAATAGTAATAACAGTAACTGTAGTAATAATAATAATATTAATAATAATAATAACAATAATATCAGTGATATTAGCAATGGCAGTCAAGCAGGACCATGGCAGGAGGCAGTGCCTGGTACAGACTGCAATGAAGGTTATGGGGAGGACTGAAAAGCTCTCCCTTCAGTCCATCTATGAGCAGTCTGTACTCAGGCAGGTGCGGAGGGTACTGTTGGACCCGTCCCACATCCTTCAAACGGAATATGAGATCTTGCTCTGCAGAAGGTACAGAATCCCAAAAAGCAAATTGAACCGTTTTAAATACTCTTTTGTACCCACCTCCATCAAAATTTTTAATCAAAATTTTAAATAGATCTGTACGCTGAGGCCTGGGAAGTGTGCAACAACTTGGTGTTCTGCTTGTTTTTTTTTTATTTGTTTTAATCTTTCATTGGATGTGTCATGAGTGTGTATGTAGCCTATGTGTACATCTTTAGCTGTTATATGTATTTTATGTGTATTTATTGTCTGTAAGGGCAGCTACTACTATGCACTACGCACTTTGAGTCCATGACAAATTTCTCCTAGGGGACAATAAAGTATATTCTCTCCTATGGAACTAGAAAGAACAAGAACTCCGTGAAAGAAGTGAAGTTAGTAACATGTATTAATGGGACATGAATGAGTGCAGAAAGAGAGAGGAAGGGAGGAGCTCAGTGCACCATGGGAAATCCCCCAATAGTCTAGGCCTATAGCAGCATAACTAAGGGGTGGTTCAGGACTCACCTGATCTAGCCCTAACTATAAGCTTTATCAAAGAGGAATGTCTTAAGCCTACTCTTGAATGTGGTGAGGGTGTCTGCCTCCCGAACCACAACTGGAAGCTGGTTCCACAGGAGAGGAGCTTGGTAACTGAAGGCTCTGGCTCCTGTTCTACTTTTAGAGACTATAGGAACCACAAGTAGCCCAGCATTCAGAGAACGTAGTGTTCTAGAGGGGTAATAGGGTACTATGAGCTCTTTAAGATATGAAGGGGCCTGACCATGAAGAGCTTTATAGGTGAGGAGGAGGATTTTAAATTCTATTCTACATTTTACAGGGAGCCAGTGCAGAGAAGCTAGTACAGGAGAGATGTGATCTCTTTTTCTAGTTCCTGTCAGTACTCGTGCTGCAGCATTTTGAATTAATTGGAGCGTTTAAATAGACTTATTGGGGCAGCCTGATAATAAGGAGTTGCAGTAATCCAGCCTTGAAGTAACAAATGCATGGATTAGTTTTTCTGCATCTGTCTGTGATAGGATGTGTCTAATTTTTGTAATATTACATAAATGAAAGAAGGCAGTCCTAGAGGTCTGCCTTATGTGGGAATTAAATGACAAATCCTGATCAAAGATAACTCCAAGATTCCTGACAGTGGTGCTAGAGGCCAAGGTAATGGCATCTAGAGTAACTATATCTTTAGACAGTGAGTCTCTAAGGTTTTTGGGGCCAAGTACAAGAATTTCGTTTTTTTCTGAGTTTAACATCAGAAAATTGCAGCTCATCCAGGATTTTATGTCCTTAAGACATGTTTGTAATTTAGATAATTGATTAATTTCATCATGCTTGATCAATAGATAATGCCAATTTGATGCTCAAGTCTCTGTAAAAGAATATTATGGTCAATGGTGTCAGAGAGAAGTCCATTGTCGGAAGCAATCAAACAGTCATTATTAACTAGAGCTCATAGTACCCTATTACCCCTCTAGAACACTACGTTCTCTGAATGCTGGGCTACTTGTGGTTCCTATAGTCTCTAAAAGTAGAACAGGAGCCAGAGCCTTCAGTTACCAAGCTCCTCTCCTGTGGAACCAGCTTCCAGTTGTGGTTCGGGAGGCAGACACCCTCACCACATTCAAGAGTAGGCTTAAGACATTCCTCTTTGATAAAGCTTATAGTTAGGGCTGGATCAGGTGAGTCCTGAACCATCCCTTAGTTATGCTGCTATAGGCCTAGACTATCGGGGGATTTCCCATGGTGCACTGAGCTACTCTCTTCCTCTCTCTTTCTGCACTCATTCATGTTCCATTAATGCATGTTACTAACTCCACTTCTTCCCCGGAGTTCTTGTGCTTTCTCGTCTCGCAGGTTCTCATGGATCCTGGTGGAGCCTCCTGCCATGGTCCTGCTTGACTGCCATTGCCAATACTGTTGTTGCTGTGCACCTGTCTGTCTGTCTGTCTCTCGCTCTCTCTCTCTCTGCCTCTCTCTCTCTCTCTCTCACCCCAACTGGTCGAGACAGACGACCACCCACCTAGAGCCGGGGGATCTGTCCTAGGTTTCTGCCTTTTAATAGGCAGTTTTTCCTTGCCCTTGTCGCCAAGTGCTTGCTCATGGTGGTACTGTTGGGTCTCTGTAATTAATGTTAAAGAGTTCGGTCTAGACCTGCTCTATTTGAAAAGTGTCCTGAGATAACTTCTGTTATGAATTGGCGCTATACAAATAAAATTGAATTGAATTGAATTGAACTTTAACCAGAGCTGTCTCTGTGCTGTGATAAACTCTAAATCCTGACTGAAAATCCTCAAATAAGATAGATAGATAGATAGATAGATAGATAGATAGATAGATATACTTTATTGATCCCAAGCTGGGAAATTGCAATAAGGCAATAAAAGCCCCAAAACATATACTAAATAAAAAGTATAAATAAGCAGTATAATTGTAGTGCAAAGTAAAAATATAAGGTGCAGTGAACAGATAGAAACATATAAGGTGCTTGGAGACTGTATTATTATGACCAGAGTTTTAGGTGTTATTTTTATTTATTATTTGTACAGTGTGATGGCATGTGGCAGGAAAGATTTCCTGTATCTGTCCCTTCGACAGCGGAGCTGGAGCAGCCTGTGAGAGAAGGTGCTCTGCTGTCTGACCACTGTGTGATGGAGAGGGTGCTGATCATTGTCTATGATGGATAACAGTTTATTCAGCGTTCTCCTCTCCACCACGGACTCAAAAGACTCTAGAGTACAGAGCCAGCCTTCTTGATGATTTTATCAAGTCTGTTGGTGTCGCTGGCTCTGATGCTGCTGCCCCAACACACAGCAGCAAAGAAAATGGCGCTGGAAACAACAGACTGGTAGAAGATCGCCAACATCTTGCTGCACACGTTGAAGGATCTCAGCTTCCTCAGGAAATAGAGGGCCTGTCCTCCCAAATACGCGGCCTCACCCAATACGATGTTTCGAAAAAGATCTCCATAAACACGGTGTTGTTTCCAGAAATATCTGCGTCCACACGGATTCACTGACAACGACCCAAAACGCTGTAGTACATATGCCAGGCCTGTATGTGGCGCTGTGACGCCGCCACACCAATACACTAAAACTGGAAAAGAAGCCATGGAGCATGCGCTGTTTACAAACAAGTAGTAGTAGTTCGCCATTGTTGTTGTTGTTATGACGCGTCTAGCGGTCGCGGCTGAGGTTAAAGGCTAGAGAGGCAGGGCTAATACGTCATCATTTCGGAAAAAATCTGTTTCGCTGTCCTGACGACTCTGGGCAATCCGGCGTTTTCAGATTTTCCCACTCTGGGACCTGTTTCCAAAAAATACCGTTTTCACACCCCGAAAACGCCGTATCTGTCTGGACGCGAGGCCGATATGATAAAGTATTTATCCGGAAAAAAAAAAACGTATTTGTGAGGACAGGCCGAGAGTCTGCTCATCCCCTTCTTGTACACAGCCTCGGTGTTAGATTTCCAGTCCAGTGTGTTGTTGATCACCACTCCCAAGTATTTGTAGTCCTCCACCTTCTCCACCACCTGCCACCTGATCCGTAGTGGCTGTGAGGGCCTCCTCTTCTTCCTACCGAAGTCGATCAATATCACTCTGGTCTTGTTGACATTCAGACTCAGGTGATTCTGCTCAGACCACTCCACAAAGTTGTCTACCAGTGTCCTGTACTCACTCTCATCTCCCCCTCTTATACACCCGACAACAGCTGAGTCATCAGAAAACTTCTGCAGGTGACATGACTCAGATTTGTACTGGAAGTCAGTGGTGTATAAGGTGAAGAGGAAGGGAGAAAGCACAGTTCCCTGTGGAGCTCCTGGATTACTGACCACCATGTCAGACAGGACACTGCCCAGACGGACAAACTGTGGCCTGCCTGTCAACTAGTCAGTAATCCAGGAGATCATAGTGTCTTCAACACCCACCACCCGCAGCTTCTCACCCATTAGCAGAGGCTGAATGGTGTTGAAAGCACTGGAGAAATC